GGCACACATCTCTTAACGAACGACCCCGCCGTAGGGAATCTGGCTACAAGAAATACTGGGGCACATAATTCGTCGTCGAGTTTGGGGGCCCCAGGGTGCTCCTGAGCTTCTGGGGCCATCGGGGGAGAAGAACTTTCCGTGGGGCACTTCCTGGAAGGCCGGTGTCTGATTTGTCCCAACCCTCCTTGGTTGGGTATTCGTTTTGAATCGAGGGGTGTGGTCGCGTCCTCCTCCGGCCCCCCCTGTGGTCGCCGTCCCTGGGGGGCTGCGATCTGCGAACTAGGAAACTGTCGCCACTTTCGAGGGCTGCTGGTGGGTCCTGCGGAGTGAGGCACCGCGCGGATCTGAGCAAGACCTCGCCGTGCCTGGGGAGCTGCGATCTGCAAAACTGTCGCCACTTTCGAGAGCTGCTGGTGGGTCCTGCGGAGTGAGGCACCGCGCGGATCTGAGCAAGACCTCGCCGTGCCTGGGGGGGATGCGATCTGCGAAAATGTCACCACTTTCGAGGGCTGCTGGTGGGTCCTGCCGAGTGAGGCACCGCGCGGATCTGAGCAAGACCTCGCCGTGCCTGGGGGGCTGCGATCTGCGAAACTGTCGCCACTTTCGAGGGCTGCTGGTGGGTCCTGCGGAGTGACGCACTGCGCGGATCTGAGCAAGACCTCGCCGTGCCTGGGGGCTGCGATCTGCGAAGCTGCCGCCACTTTCGAGGGCTACTGGTGGGTCCTGCGGAGTGAGGCACCGCGCGGATCCGAGCAAGACCTCGCCGTGGCTGGGGGGGCTGCGATCTGCGAAACCGTCGCCACTTTCGAGGGCTGCTGGTGGGTCCTGCGGAGTGAGACACCGCGCGGATCTGAGCAAGACCTCGCCGTGCCTGGTTGGCTGCGATCTGCGAGTCAGTCGCCACTTTCGAGGGCTGCTGGTGGGTCCTGCGGAGCGAGGCAACGCGCGGATCTGAGCACGACCTCGCCGTGCCCGGGGGGCTGCGATCTGCGAAACCGTCGCCACTGTCGAGGGCTGCTGGTGGGTCCTGCGGAGTGAGGCACCGCGCGGATCTGAGCAAGACCTCGCCATGCTTGG